TCAAGATATCACATAGCACACACACAAAAATAGAAGCCTCCAGGGCTTAAATAACGTATTGGAATGAAGGAGTAGCAATTCTTGTTATTCTGTGCGATGAAAGCTAAGTGAAGCGAGTAAAAAGGAGGTAAGCAACAGCAAATAAGTCACCTGACTGCTGGCAGGGGTAACATCATGCCCCCCAACTCAATAGGCTGTAGTTATATCTTGTAGAACTAAAGTTGTCCTTCTTGACCGAGCCCCCGTTCCACCAGACATCCATCATATTATTACCGTTAGCGTCAAGTGTTGAGGCTGTGATGAACCGTACCCGGAGCCATACCCAGAGCCCAAGCCCAGGGGGTGGCTACTGACGGGCTCACGTGTTTCGATATAATAGTCCCCATCTTTACCAAGTTGTTGCCCAGCCGATACTAATGGCTCATGTAGCTACAACAGCAAGTGCGCCAGAGTCAACTGGTGCTCGTCTACCTTCACTGGCGTTGGCTTCTACTGCAAATTCCTTTTCTACTAATATCAAGAAACGAAAAGATGGTTTCGCATGTAACTCAATTGCTCTCATAGTTTTTATGATATGCTCATCGAATGCCTAGTAGAACTACTTTGGGCAGCAGACCTAAGCTTACTCCTTTCTCCAGACGTTGAGCATCTGCCGTACAGTGAGTGGACTAATGTCAGGGAACCTGGAGTTCATCTCCGCAGGAATGTGAGAGATCTCCTCATCTGCTGTCCACCGTGCAAAAATAGAGATAAACCATTGGAATTGAGGCTTGGGGATGAAAGCATAACAAGGCACTTGTGATGGCAGCTCAGTCATTTCGCCCTTCTTCAGCTTCTCGATAGAGTCATAGGTAACCTTGAAATTAGAACCTGACAATTGGTTAACAACTTGGGCTTCCGAGCAGGCGTAGGATGGGGCAGGCTCACCAGTTGTTTCCTCAGCAAGGCGTAGAAACTCATTCCACGTAATAATGTCCCCGGCAAATCTAGAAACCTCAGGCCATTCATCGAGATCCTGCAGGGCTACCACGTATCTCGCAACGTCAAAAGTATATGTGAGGGAGAAAGGCGTATTACCATCACCGGGAATAGCAGCCTCTTTGTTCGCAATGTCTAAGCCGAATGGCGATGGGCGAAGGAAAGTCTTTATATGAGGCTGACCCCAGTAATCAAGGAAACAGCCATTATTAATCACGGTCCACTGTAGGCCCGACTTCTTCAGCTCGTCAATAGCCTTGAAGTAATCGGCCAGCATAGGAAGTTCCTTTATGGCACTTAAGAAAGGGAGTCAGAAAATACAGTTAGAACAAGCAGGCGAAATGGTATACACTCACGATTTGGGATAAGCGATGCCAAACGTGCTGGGAATAAATCTCTTTGTGGTGGACGAGTCGGTAGCCGCCTTGATCAAGTTCAATTGGGCCACAGAGAGAGCATCGCCTTCATAGTTGACGCAGCTGATGACCGTGTCGATAGCATTCTTTTCAAGAACCTCTCGAATAGAGTCGACGTTAGTGTAGTCAACCTGTAGAGCTGGTACCCCAACATCGGTCGTGGCCTGCAGGAAAGGCGGCGAGTCAGCAATTCTGTCGTCACAGGTTCAAATGTGATACTTTAACGAGGGTAGGAGGGCATACACTGCGAGAGAGGATGAATGGATTATAACGAGTCTGTTCTTTGAGAACTTCAATGATGGTTCGGCCAACGTTGCCACTGCCACCTGCTATTGCGATATTCACCATGGTTTTCTCTATGATTTGCAGTTCCGTGCTGAGTGAGGACCAACGAGTCTGTGAGCTGGAGTTTGAACGGAAAGTGATGTACTTGATGGAAGTTCAAGGAAAACTAAATCCGATTTCTATAGCGCGTTTGATCGCGTTATTATTGTGGGATGACTCGATGCTGGATCACGAATGCGGAATCCGCATACAAAAGTTCGGAGCTAAGGCTGTTATCCGCACTGTGTTCCGTGTTTTGACTGCCGCTAGCAGATTCTACGTCGCGAATATGTAGCTGGGGAAGAGAAAATGGACTACAAGAGAAAACACGACACAGTACCGTCAGGGGAAAGAGAGTTGACAGTGGCGAATATACGACGGCGAGGTGTCGTAGTCACATCCATTGCTGTGAAGCCGATGGCTGGAGGAAAAATCTCCTCATCCTGTAACTGATCAGGTGATCAGCACCGACCAAGGAGGGGCCCGTGTGCCATACCAGTACTCATCTCTTAAGACAAACGATTGTGGGTAGGCACACACATATTGCGCAGTACAACACAATTGACACACCAATACCCCTATGTTGAGGCGTACAATATTTGACAGTAGGCTATTGTCATTGAAATCCAATTGTGGTAAGGGTGGACTAATTAGGCCAGGATTGTGGTACGACAAGTACTGCGGTTTCCGGCGGCCCACCTGCAGCTTCGAGCCGTCAAAGCTGTATAAGTTGGCTCCACCTCAGAAGGCGGTTGAGGGAAGGGCAATATTGGCTCCTCCGAATCCTTTGACTTGAACAATCTGTCGACTCGGGGTATTAGAGCGTAAGTTGAATGACAACTGGTAAATCAAGCTGCTAGGACTTCTCAAAGATTATGGCATCCACAGAGCTCCGCCTAAAAAGGCACTTCTTCAAGCAGCCGGTCGTGATCCTTGGTGCCGGCATTATAGGATGCGCCATTGCATACAACGTACTCAAGGAGGGTTACTCAGTTGTCCTCGTCGCTGACAAGTTGCCCGGTTGTCAAAGCGTTTACTACCCATCGCAATGGGCTGGTGCCTCTTGGCATTTCTCCAAAGAGGGATCAAAGGAGGACAAATATCTGCAGGCTATTACGTTCCGCGTATGGTCAAAAATGCGGAATGAAGATGGCCCGCAGTGTGGAGTCATGCCCGTACATACCACTGAGTTCTACGCAACAGGTCCTGCTGGTCGGGCAAGCTTTTGGGCGGAGGGCCTCACCTCGGTAAGGCATCGCAAACCACCCGATAAGAAGAGGCTATGGCTGACTCAGACTATCGCGACAGATCATAACCAGGACGTCTGCGGATCGCCAAATGCCAGACCCATATGAGAAGGCGATCGAGTACGACTCGCTTGTTTTGGACCCCAATTTCCATTTGCCCTATCTAAAGCAGAAGATCGAACAGATGGGAGGGCGTTTCCTAGAAAAGAAAGTGCATTCCTTAGCGGACCTCCATGCCATGTTTCCCCAATCGCGAGTTCTTGTCAATGCTAGCGGCTGCGGGAGCAAAGACCTGATCGATGTCCGAGACGAGAAGTGCTTCTGGGAGCGTGGCCAGAATATCTTCTTCAAGACCGACAAGACAGATGAAGTGCTCATTGGTCACGCTGCAGCACCTAAGGAGTATACATATGTCATTCCCAGACCGCTCCAGGGTGGTGTGATCTTGGGAGGCGTCAAACAGCCTGGAAACTTGTAAGTGTTATTGAAGATCGAAAAATCCCCCGATGATGCGCCACCACAGCTATTGACCCGGACACAGCTCCACCGAAGTTGATATGGACGTTGTTCAGGACGAGATCCAGCGCACGCATCATCTTGCACCGCATATTGTTCCCGCGAATCCGGACAAGAAAGATATAAATGTCGTCATCGGCATGCGTCCGTGCCGCCAAGGAGGGTTTCGTCTCGATTCAAAGCAGAACTCGAACGGTCTTACGATCATCTCAGCGTATGGTTTCGGCGGCAATGGCTATGCCTTCTCTTTTGGGGTAGCTGACAGAGTTGTTGACATGGTGAAAAGTGTGGAATTTGAACAGTTATTCGGGGAAGGGTCGGCAAGAACTGCGGCTGCGAAACTGTAGATATTTTGATATAATGACGGCAATTGCGAATACCACAGAGACATTGTTAGGCAGCAGAATGTCACCCTTTCCCCATCTGGACACTACCGTAGCGCAAGTGGGCTCTTTTTGTGAATTACTGTATAGATCAGTGTACATAGCACCTTTGCAGTAACGATGGGGATATATGTGATGAGACTGTTTTGAAAACAAATTGCAGGCGGAAGTATCTATTCTATGACGAATCTGCAAGTAGATAGACCTTAATAAATAAGAGTCGAGCCCGTGACGATGGCCGTCGCAAACAGGCCAGTAGTAGATGGCCCCCGAGTACAGGTTCTTGTTAGTTACTCAAGGGGTCTTACTCTTTATTAAGATGCTGGCTGATGGGTCTGCTTCGGCCTACGCTTAATTAGTTCTAGTTTGTGATCACAGTCTGAGGACTTCAAGCTTGCTCACAATGTTCTCATACTCAATGTTCGTGGGTCTTCTCTTGCCTGGGAGGAACTTAAGCTCATAATTGAGCAACAACTCGCATATGACGAGTTTGTCAACGATGTCGGTCAAATAACGCCCAGGGCAGACGTGACGACCGTATCCGAAACCCTACCGAAAGTATAGTTAGGTCATTATGTTGAACACCGTAGACTTATCCATCAAATGGGAGGTAGGAGAAGAGTCGCGCAGAAAACCAAATCTGAGGTGTTGTCGATGGAAGGGGCAGGAGGAAAGGAATAATGGGACTTACAAGATCATCTGCCGAAGTGCTCACAAAGGTGTGCTTGTGCTCGTGGCCGGGGCGCTCTCGTGCCTTCAAGTGACGGGTAGCATCGAAACTCAGTGGATTGGGCCACTTATTTGGATCGCGATCAATTGCACCGGCGGCAATCTCAATCTTGGTGCCCTTAGGAATGAAGATTCCATCCTTTAGCGTCACATCTTCAATACTGGCTCTTGCAAATGTTGCTTTGTGCAAGGTTAGTGTTGGAACTAGGAGTCTGAGAGAAGAACTAACTTATTCCTGATCCGTTCAATCTGAATGACTCCTTCAGAAAACTGTCCATGAAACGCATTTCTTGGAGTCCACTCCTAGTCAGAAATCCATTTTCATCCCTTTCCGCGCGCTGAATCTCTTCAAGAAGAGCCGGGATATGTTCTGGGCGGTCGATGAGGTCGTATACAGCTTGAATCGCGCTTGAGACAGTTGTGCTGTTGCCGACAGCAATTAGAGTCATTTGATGCAGTGTTTGGGCGTCAATGTCTTCCGCATATATTACATTTTTACCCGTGGTGAGGTGGTCGAATAAAGACGGAGGGGAGTCAAGTTGTATGCCACCCAGCTGGCGACGCAGCTGGATCGTTTCTGTAACAAACTTTGAAGCCTCTTTGAATTGCTTCTTGATTGCCTTCTTTTGCGGAGAAAAGAAATGAACGACTGGGCGCAACACTGGAGGGATTGTTTTTAAAAGTCGAATAGTAGCGATTACGGCACCAAGGTACCCGTAAGCGATTCCAAGCCATTCGTCACTATCTGTGGTTGAGGAACCATAGAAGGCGCGTGATGAAACCCTAGTGACAAGCTTCAAAACCCTCTCGTGTACTCTGATCTCCTCCCAATTGTCGAACTCGCCAACAACTGACTTCATGTGTTTGATGATCAGAGCGTGGAGTACGGGAACGTACTCGCCTAAGTGGGAAAAAATCGCAATCAGGGCACTATAGTACCTGGTCATCGAAAATACACGGACATACCTAGTGTCGGATTCAAGCCACCGGTGATGGCCTTGTTGAAGTAATCAGGAGGGCCGCCGAATTTGGTATATTCGACAAGCATATCATTGTCTACCGACGCCTTAAACGTGAAACTCGGATGATTTCTGAACTCGTCCCATCGGTTGCGAGGGATTACAAGCTTAATTCCTGCATGAAATGAGCCATCCGTAGATTAGCTGATTGATTCAAGCAGTTTTTCAACTTCGCCCGCACCCTCTAGGTACTAGTACTGGACGGCAATTAGCTCTTACCGTCGTGGGTATCGTAACCCCAGATCTGATCGCAGTACTAATAGCTGACTGTTAGCTTAGCTTTGTCTGGGTATTCGGCCATTCTAAATCACCATTTTGTGCCCTTGTTCTAGTAGTGCTCGGCCTCGAGTCGAATACTCCGCCATTCGCTTTCTAGCGGAGGGTATCTGGTCACGTAGAAGAATTGGGACGTTTCTGACATTGGATTTGCGAGAAGATCTAACGACAAAAAGTAGACCAAGGATGATAACCAGGAAGGCCAGATATACGTTTTGCTTTTCCATATTTTCAATTTCACGGGGGACTAGCTGAGGATCGTCGGACATGGCAGTTGATGATCGAGATGTCATGTCAAATCGGTTCGACGTGCTCAAGCAGAGTGCCAATAATGTTGTGTGAAGAGTGACAGTCCCAGCTCATTTCTATAATGATTAGTTGACGTTGGCTGCCATCTCATGTAGTGCAATTGCTCATATCCTAGTTGATGTCGGATTCCGCATAAGTTCCGGATCCTGCTCTCGAGGTCCGAAGTTCGTGTTGTGGGCCCGAAAGCCCATATTTCACCAGTAGTAGATTGTGAGATTCTTTTTAAAACTTGTATATAGCATTGAAAATCACTTACCAGCTTCTCTGACAATTTTATTCGGTTATCTATTCTAGTGATTTCATGATGACTGGCACTTTGGTTGGCCGGGTGGCCCTTATCACCGGCTCCGCCAGCGGTATTGGTGCTGATATAGCCCGAGAATTGTCATCTCGAGGGGCTAAAATCATCTTGACATATCCTTTCCCGCATCTGAAAGAGGTGTGCGAGTCAGTCGGTGAATCACTTAAAACACCGTGGATTGCTGTATGCGCAGATCTATCAACGACCGACGGCCCCGCTGAGCTCGTCGCTGCAGCTGTCCAGCAATTCTCTGTTATCGACATCCTTGTTCACAACGCCGCCCATTTCTCCAATGGGTCAACTGAGAACATCACTGCAGAACAGTGGGACAAGACATTTGCGGTTAATGTTCGTGGCACCTTTCTTCTCACACAAGCTGCTTTGCCGCACCTGCGGCCGTATAAGTTCCAAGACACGCCACCATTGACAGGCGTAGCTGGCGGCCCTAAGATCATCTGCATTTCCTCCGGCACATGCCGGGCCCCCCAATGTCAGCCCAATGTGCTGGCCTATGCAGCGACTAAAGGTGCAATTGAGACCATGATCAAGGTCTGGGCCCGAGAATTGACGCCCATATATGGATGTACCGTCAATGGTGTCTCCCCGGGACCGACCAATACTCCTGTCTTTGACACCATGCCCGGTTTCAATGCTCAGGTGGCCCATGAGACATTTGGCAAGAACACCCCGTGTGAAGGCTCTATGGCCGATACAAGCGACATAGCCAACGCTGTCGCCTTCTTGGCCGAACCCCAGACGAAATGGATCAATGGTGAGGTGATGATGGTTAATGGAGGAATGATCATGATCTGAGAAGAGCAGTGATTGCGTACACTGCGTGTCATACGGCGAGTCTTACGAGAGGTCCGGACACTTGATATCATATGGTGAGACGTTAGCATGAAATATCAAGAACAGTGTCCAGCGCCGATGAGGAGTCAAATAATTGATTACGTGCCATCTTACTGGGATTTATGTCTGTCACTTCTGGAGAGTTCCCACATTAGATGAGCACTTTTTCTTTTATTGCGGCATACTGAACATTAATCAAATTGACTTAACCACATCGCCACCATGTAGCTATAATTATTCCTTCATGACGTCCGTGGTGAACTTTGCAATCACAATTTTGCCCTGCACTCCTCTACCCTCACGGCGATGATAGCCCACTACTGATGTAGCCTGGTATTTGTTAACAACTAGACCTGTAAGGCCACTTACTGCACAAGAGCTTGGCGTTCGGATATTGGCAGTTTGATAACTCTGTATTGTATTATTGATAATACCATGACTTAAAGCACTCGTGCATAAGAAGATTGTTCGCGAGAATATGCTTGACAAGTGAACGAGTTTTAGTTATAGTGCTTAATGGCAAACTTTTCGAGTGCCGCTGCCAGCCTGACCTGATCGACAGGTGATGCTTCATCCGTCAATGAAGCTCGATCGATACTATTTCCGGCCTCGTGCACTAGGGCCTCCATACCATCGCCGCTAGTGTACGAATAGAACCTGACGTACTTTGTCCTGAAATCGAGCGAGAATGGGGTGTTAGCTTGCACACAGACAACTTCACCCGCCGTAATGAGCATGGGCTTGTCTTCGTCCGCAATGGTGATGTTGACCTGGCCGTCGAAAAAAACAAAGACGTGATGGACCGGGAATGACATCTTCTTGGAGAATACAGACGGGCCGTAAGCATTTGAAGTCTCAATACAACTAATCGCGAACTTCCCGGAGCACTGCTTAGTAGTGATAAAGGGTCGAGAGAAGACGCCTCCGAGAACCCAACGTGGCCCAGTGTTACACTTTAAGAAATAACCAGCTTCGCCGTCAGGAAGTACTGAATCCTTCTCCGACCAGGGTAATGGCTCAGGAGGATTTGGTAGTTCGACTGGGTAGGAGTCATATTTAGCATATATCTCCTCGGGCACCTCCTCAGCAGCCTTAGCTCGATCGAAGAAGTCCAATTCGGGGAACATAAGTCCATCAAATGGCTGCTTCCATGCTCGAAAGGCATTCACCCAGTCAGCGGGGCTAATCAACGGTATGACTTTCGTGATTGGACCTTGAGGGGTTGGTTTATGCACTAAGCCCTTTAGACACATGTCAGCTTGTGAGCATGTGCGGAACACGCAGGTAGGTTAGGTGTACCGGAGGCACGGAAGCAAAGTCCCCAGGCCCGAGCATCCGACTAGATCCATCACAGTATACTTTCATTGTTCCCTCGACAACGAGGAAGCAGTCGTGTGTCTTCTTGTGATAATGAGACGGCTGGTCCGATGCAGCCCCATCCCAGGCAAACACGGAGATCTTGTTGTCCGTCTGCTTTTCTGTTGCGTAGAAGCGGAACACGCCTCGAAGACCTGGCATGCTTTGGATTTCTCCATCCATGCGGTCGAGAATGTACGACGAGCCATCCTCTGGAGGTATCTCAACTCGCTGTAGAGACATTGTTGTAAACTTTATGGAACTCTTTTGGGATGATAGTGATTTGTATGAGTTCAGCGCTGGTGCTGCATTTGGGAGGGAACATAAAACCCTCGCTCAACAGACTAACCAAGTGAATAGATATACTCACACCTTCAAATAGAATCGTGTGGTTTTCCATTTTTGTCGTGCCATCGAAGTGAGGTGGTATATGCCGGATTCGGTGCGCGGAATCCGCACAAATCATATAAGCTCCGGAGGCCCGACGCTTTCATCCACTATGGAATCTCTGCTTCAAATGAGGCAGTGATTATAAATCAAGAGGCTTCCAGCCTGATATAGACTGAAAAGAGACCAAGAATTGACAGTTTTAAATCATTCCCATGCTCCCGTCCTTGAGAAACTGTATCGATTGTTAGACTTGTGAAAATGTCAACGACTAAGGCTCTGGAAGAGGCGAGGGTCAACTTCGCCAGCAGCAACCCGGGAAGTGAGAAAGTTTTCAAAGAGAACCTCTTGGGATTGCCTGGTGGTACGTATTTTAGCCCATTCAATCGAGGGAGATCATAATTGATTCTATTAACACAATAACTCTTCTGACCGGTCTTGCCCTAGGTGTGACGAGGGGTGGCCTCTACTTTCACCCCTTTCCTATCATCCTCACCAAAGGTGAAGGAGTTCATGTCTGGGACGCTGATGGTCGCAAATACCTCGACTTCTGCGGCGAGTATGCCGCGGGACTTTTTGGTCACAACCATCCGGTGATCTCCAAGGCCATGATCGATGCTATCCAACACGGTACAGCACTAGGTGGCGTCAACCCAGCTGAGGGAAAGGCTGCATCACTCCTTTGTGCCAGGTTCGAAAGCATGGACAAAGTGCGATTTTGCAACTCTGGCACGGAGGCCGATCAGATGGCCTTCCAGCTTGCCCGGGCATATACCGGACGAAACAAGCTCATGCTGTTCGAGGGTGGTTACCATGGTGCCCTGGCGTCGTTCGTTGTAAAGCCTGTACCCGGTGTCAAGTCGATGAATATCCCTGTCGATATAGTCGTTGCCGATTACAACGATGTAGAAGGCACCCGAGCCCTCATCCGGCAACATCAAGACGATCTGGCATGTGTTGCCCTTGAGCTCATGCAAGCTGCCGGGGGTTGTTTACCTGCTACCACCGAATTTGTCCAGATGCTACGGGACGAAACTAGCGCAAGTGGTGCACTTCTTCTATTCGACGAGGTTGTAACAAGCAGATCCGCGTATGGTGGCCTTCAGAGCCGGCTTGGCATAAAGCCTGATTTGACGACTGTCGGAAAGTGGATTGGCGGAGGTAGCTGTAACTTCGGTGCCTTTGGTGGCAGTGCCAAAGTCATGGATCTGCTAGACCCAACCAAGTCAGGTTCAATCTCCCACAGCGGCACATTTAACAACAATATGATCACGATGCAGGCCATGTGCGCCTGCCTTGGAGATGTATTCACTGAGCAGGAAGCCGCGAGATTGTGGGATCTGGGTGAATACCTGAAGGATGGGATTAATAAGGCTGCGAGTGCCTCCAATGTCAACATGCAGGCGACCGGGTGCGGCAGCACACTTACGATCCACTTCACCCGGAATAGACTTCGCTCTCGAGCTGATCTCAAATCAGTCAATCACGACTTGACAACCTTGTTCTACCTTGATATGCTGCAGAAAGGTATTCACATGGCTACGCGAGCGATGATATGTATGATGACACCTCATACAAAAGAGCACGCCGATGTACTTATCGCTGCTATAAAAGACTTCATCGAAGAGAGAAAAGAGCTTGTGATTTAAGAAGTCACCCGGAATAATAAACCACAAATGACAAGCTAGAGTTATACATCATTTTACACCGATTCGCAATGGAAATAATATTCATAGAGCATTCCTGGCCAGCCATGACTGTCAATGTACTTCCTCCAGTGCGGCCACCTGTGCCCTCATCTTGACCTGTTTATGCCCCACTATAACAATTGCTCAGATCTAAAGGTCCAATGTGGAGCGACGAGCATATTTGTCCTGAAGCATAAGGACCATGGACCAGTTAGAACTTGGCATAAGAAGCGGTTAGCAGGTAGGGCAGCTCGTGAGAAGAGTTTGTAGTCTCCTAGAAGACTACCGGAACAAGCAACGCAGGAGCTTCTCAATGGGATGGGCATCCTGGTTCAATTCTTTCGTTATCTTATGCGAAGCCTTGCAGTGACTGTGTTAGCACCGCCGCCAATATTTCATGGATCTGAGTCTGCAATATCAAGACCAATTTCTCCGCTATGAGAGAGCTAGTGGAGCAGCATGTACCAGCCCTCTGTCTTGGTTGTTTCAAACGATTCACGGCGACAATCCACCTTCGCAGTCGCATCATACCTGACTTTAAAGAGTCCATCCAGAGAACCCAAGCGCATATGCTATGTGTATAGATATAATTCGACGGCCAGTTGCCATGATATTCGTAAAGAATACATTGTGCTGTTCCTGGTTGATCGTGAAATCAAAGTAGCAGTACCAGATTTAACATAGCCTTTCTTTTCTGCGGGCTTCTCAAAATGGCCCCGGCGAAGCGTGATATACTTGAGCATGGCATAGTGTATACACATCATAGTAGTCATGTTCATATTGTTTACCGCTGCGGTATACCACTGTACTGCAGACACAAGGACTAATTGTCATATCCATTGAGACATGTCATGAAGTAAACACACCGCCTCCTTAATGATGCTCAAAAAGGTGAGATTCATCAATAAAGGAAGGTGTGAGTGAGCAAAAACGATTAATCGGGTGCCAAGACGATGTTTCTCTGCTAGGCAGATCCTGAAGTTTGATATATAGAGTGACGAACGACTCTGTGTTTTTGCCATATGAATCCACTGGAACATTCTCACTCGATGCAAATTGTAATTTCTCTGAGCTTCATGTCTCTTCTCTTGATCGAGCGCTCGACAAAGCTGCGGTCCCACCAGGTCTTGAGGGCAGCAAGAATCACTCGGCTAATGGCGCACGCAAGCAAGACCTTCCAGGTTGCCAACACGAGACTTCGGCCAATGGTAATGACAAAGCTACGACCCAGTATGTCTGCGCAGCAGCACTAGGCCATTAGATCAACAGAGATTCCTGATCACGCTAATTAGTAATCTATAAGCAAGCTCACGTTTGTAAATACTGTCATTTTCTCATTTGCGATTCAACCTCACTACTAAGCGTGCAACACTGATTGATGGCTTATCCGGGGCCGGAATCCTCTTTCCAGCCGTGATGAACAAAAGTGACCAATTAAACAACATGGTTGCCATGCAAGTGGCTTATTACGTGGGGATACACATTGAGTCCCACTGATAGGACTGCGGATGCCGCAGAAACTGTTGGCAATTGCGAAGATAGGTAGACACAGGCTTCGGGCTAGACTATACTGAACGATTTACTGGTAGGCATTTGAGCTTCACGTGGCAGAGGGGATTCAAAGAGCTCTAATAATGCAAAGACAAGGCTTTTCCGAAGTACGACAAGCGGGTAATCACAAGACTACGTTCCTCTGTGTTAGTTTGCATCTCAGCCTGGTCTACCACGCCAGCGTCAAGACGTCTCTTCTCGCTTACATCTCTCATCTCGTAACTCGCAACAGACAGAACTTGCATATATTAAGATGGCGGGCTAAGAGCCCAGCGTCCTCGTTCAGGCGGTCTGGCGTTTTCCTTGTTTTGACGGTCAATTCGCCAAACCCCGCCTTTTATCAAACAACAAAAAATTCTTAGACCTGTACAATGTCATATAGGCTGTCATGTTAAACCATTTCGCCGAGTATCATCCACAGGTTAATCTATTATTAAGGGTCATATATGTAGCTCACTGATCCCTACTTGCGCATCGTATGCCCTCCAATATGACAGGTCATGGTGTGAATCAATTGCTTTCCCCTTAGGGATCACTTGTTAAGTCGATCACTACTTTGCCCATGTGCTTTCCTCGCAGCATGTCAGCGAGGCTATCAAGGGCGCTCTCGAGTCCTTTGTTTACGCTCAATATAGGTTTGAAAGAGCCGTCATGGATCCACTGCTGGAGACTTTTCTGGTGCTCCTCGGCATAGTCGAAAACCCAGCAGCCTGGGGTGGTAGAAAAACCTTGCCACTTGAGATTCTTGGCCACCATTAAGCCCGTGTTGCGGATGCCATATTGTTTGTCCGAGGTGGTGCTGTACTGCGATGCAAACCCACATGCCACTGTTTTGAGTGAATCAGTAGTCAGATTCATCTATCTTCCTAGGAAAGGGTTTGTGGACCGTACCTATACGACCTGAGTCTGCCATGTTCTCTATCGCCGCCTCGAGGACTTCCCCGCCGACGTTATCATAGTAGACTGAACAAATAAGTTGATAGTCGCCGAGTCTTGAAAAGATCACATACTATCGAGCCCCTTAGGGGCGATTTTGTTCAGCCGTAACGTTAGATCTGGCTCCCTGTAGTTGATCGTGCTACTGAAGCCTAGCTCTAGAAGCTTTTCGGCCTTCTCCTTGCTGCCAACAACACCGATCACGTTCAACCCTTCCCGGATTGCTAGCTGTCCAATTGTTTGACCAACAGCTCCGCTGGCACCCGAGACTAGTATCGTTTCGCCCTTCTGTGGCTGACACAGCTTGTAGAACGAAGCATACGCGACCAGACCGGGCGGGCCCAGCGCTGCTAGAAAAAGCTCCCGGTCTAGGTTGAACGGATTCTCTGGCAACTTTTGAAAATATGCCTTTTTGGTGCTTTCAACTGTCAGATACTCCTGGAGCTCCCCGTAGCCAACAATGAGATCACCAGGCTGAAATTCGGTAGCAGCTTCTGCACCGCATCCAATAATCCTAGCAATGAGACGGTTTGTGATAGGCTTATTGAATGAGTAGGGGGCGAAAACCTTCGATTCCGCTGGCGTGTTCATGTGAAGACGCATTGCAGGATCGAAAGACATATATAAGGTCTGAGCGGTGAAGCCCTGTGCGGGGGGATTCTGCTCGATGTCGAATGGCTCTTGTTCGACGAGAGCGAGATCTTGTTGGGGTATGGGTATCCCACTTGGGGTCCGCAGGTAAACAATTGCACGGTTGACTACTGGCATTTTGATAGTCGAAGAGTAAGCTGCAAGGAGACAGGTTGCAAGTCATACGAATGGTTCCCTGGTAGACCAATATACTAATTCAACAAGGCGCCGAGACACAACAACTGCCCAGCCATCATTGGCAGGGTAGGGGATGACAGTCCTTCGTCGGAATCCGCAGCATCGTGGTGTCCCGGGCCTTCGGAATCCAAAAAGTGTGGAGCTTGCAATGGCTCGAATCATGAATAAAAAAGTAGCGCCAAGATCTTTTATTTGGTTCCTCCCACAACAAAGCAGATTGCATCAACCTCTTTGTACGTTCCCGCGCTAAATCGCAGTTAAATGCTTTATTTTGCTGGTGGTGGGGCACACTGGTCAAATAAATAAAAACTACCCAAAATTTCTTTCTACACCTGGCCGTTCTGACCAATATTTGAGCAATTCTTTCTGTAGGTCTCTGGCCTTGACTACGGAGGCCTATAGGCACGACTGTGCCTTTTCAACTTTTCAGAGAAATTTCGGAATTTTTTACTTATAAGCTTTATACAACTATATATAAAACCAGCATCCTCTTTCATTCTCTTTCACATTTATCTTAATATCAACTAAAACTTTTGACAACTTTAGAGTATATAGATTTTGACTTTGAGAATATTAAATTAGCTATATAAAGTCTATAAACTATTAAACGGCTTTATAATCACCCGTATATAACTTCGGACGTTTTCACCTAATATTATATATTACTTAATGACTTAAGAAGTGACAAATACTTTGATTTTGGCCGTTGAGGCTATCTTCAGATCGTTCTACAGCATTAGATTGGAGCAATCTCGCCTGTGTTGCGATACGAGGCTATGTGCAATTTGGGTGTCCCGGCAGTCCGGCAGCCGGTGGATTACGTTATAGCCTGCCATAGTGGGCCGGTAGAACAGGGGCCCGTGTTCGGGTCCGTGACATATATAAAGAAAGCTATCTCTACATAGGAACTTCATTTACTTATTCTCTCCCTGGTCCACCCTAGCCCTGAACTAGCTATCTGGTCTGGTACTTTGAGAGGAAGGGGAAGGGGAGAGGGGGGAGAGGGGAGGAGCAGGGGACATCCGCTTTTCTTTTCTCTCCCCTCCAACCGCTGTCTAACCGCCATAAGCGGCATTACCACCCGAGCAAATTGGGATGAAGGAAGGGTGTCGAGGAGCTGACAAAGGACAGGCAGGGAGGGGCTTGCAAAACGTGGCCCGGAGACCCACCGGTATTGTACACGTGTAGTGTGCATAAAACGCCGGATGAGACGAGCGAGGTCAGCAGTCCCCTGTCTCGGGTGCCTGCGCTTCCAGTCCAACGTGAATCATGAGAAAGCGAACCCCAGGATTCTGAATTTGCCCCCCCCCTGCTTTCTCCTCTCACAGCTTCATTCATTCTGACTAAACAGGAAGCATTTTCTGCATTTCTAATTGTAGCAGCAGCTGATAACGGGCCTGGGCACACGGCGGCAGGGCATTTACTAGAAATCACCATTAATAACAGGCGTTCTACGCCAAGATCCCCCCTGCTCTTTTGCTGCATCGTGGAACAATCCGGCGTCTTGAGTGTTGGCCTTCATTAGGTATCTGCCTATGCGTAGACGTCTGCCGGTGAATCAATGCTTGCTCGATGCTTGATTGGAGGCTTTCGACGTGCTGCAACAGCTTAGCAAAAAGAAATGTTGAGCAGAGGGCAGGTGACGCCATGTCACAAGATGATTTCATTCAGAGACGGCTTAGCTGTTGTTAGAGTTTGGAAGTTTGAGACTACTGAGTCGGTGGCGGGGAGACAAGATTCTTCAGCTACACGTGTATAGCCTTAGCGCCAATTGAATTGTTCAAGAGGTCAAGACAAACCCTTGGAGCAACGTGATCTCGGTGATCTTGTTACCAGGGAGCCGGCGCTTAGGAACCCGTGGAATGGCCTGCTCGGCAGTCCCACCATGTAACGGCCGGAACAGCTTGCGATCTGCTCGCGCTTTTCGCAGACGCAGGCGAGACGGGGAAGAGAGACTTGGTGAAGAGTCAGACTCAATCATCACGGGCCCGACGATGGGGGGTTAACGCCACGCAGCAGCTTCGAATAGTATCGGCATCTTCTCGGGGCTAATCTGGCCGACTTCTCCAGCTTACTATGGTCTACGCACTATAGCGCCGTCTGCAGCCAACTCTTAACCATGGGGAAATTCGCCGCGATCCCGCCGATTTGCGTGACATTTTGTGGGGGAGCTGTCAGTTTTGCTAGCGTATAGAGGAGCGAGTTGGCCTCATGGGGCATTGGGGGGATGGAGGGTGGTGGGCGAGGAGGGGCAATCCCCAGTTTGGGGTTCCAATAAGGCCCGAAACCCGGCTTGATTCCGGAGACGTACACGAGATCGATGCGACCACACACGACCGATACAAAAGGTCAACAGATCGGTGACCTGGATCGTCGTCTTCTTGTGTTCCTTATCATCCGCTGTCCCTATCCCCTCCTCTCTTTTCAGATTTTACCTGACAGACAGACAAAACGTACCGTTTAAGGCTATCTAGCTTCCTAATTTGACTCCTGTCTCATCACTGGCAACAACACATATTGCCCAGTATGTCTGAGAAGCAGACCGCCCCGGAATCCGGGGTTGCTCCAACTACCGTGGCCCATCTCCACGCTACCGACGATGTGAACCGCGTCGAGGCTCCCGTCACGTGGAAAGCCTATCTGATGTGCGCTTTTGCTGCCTTTGGTGGTATCTTTTTCGGCTACGACTCCGGCTACATCAATGGTGTCCTCGGATCAGACGTCTTCATCCGCCAGGTTGAGGGCCCCGGCCACGATGCCGTGACTTCTAGCCATAACTCCCTGATCGTCTCGATCCTGTCTGCCGGAACCTTCTTCGGTGCCCTTATCGCCGGCGATGTCTCTGACTGGATCGGCCGTAAGTGGACCGTCATCATAGGCTGTGTTATCTATGCTGTTGGTGTCGTCATCCAGATGCTCACTGGTGTTTCTGGTACTGATACACTGGGTGATATTGTTGCTGGTCGTCTTGTCGCTGGTTTTGGTGTCGGTTTCGAGTCGGCCATTGTTATCCTATATATGAGCGAAATTGTATGCTTTTCCTTTTCTTGTCTTTCTTTCTTTTTTCTTCATCGCCCCCAAACTCAGTAATAAGATGCTGACCAACTTGCCAGTGCCCTCGCAAGGTCCGTGGTGCCCTAGTTGCTGGCTACCAATTCTGTATTACGATAGGAATCATGATGGCCTCCTGCATTGTCTATGGCACTGAAGACCGTACCGACGAGAGCTCCTACCGTATCCCAATCAGCCTTCAGTTTATCTGGGCTGCCATCCTCGGCGGTGGCCTTGTTTTTCTTCCTGATTCTCCCCGATACTTTGTCAAGCGTGGTAGACTTGAGAAGGCCGCCAATTCCTTATCCCGTCTACGTGGACAGCCCCGTGATTCCGAGTATATCCAGGTTGAACTTGCCGAGATTGTTGCTAATGAGGAATATGAACGTCAGCTTATTCCTAATACCACCTGGTTTGGCTCGTGGGCCAATTGCTTCAAGGGTAGCATATGGCATGGAAAGTCTAATCTACGTCGTACCATCCTCGGTACATCTCTTCAGATGATGCAGCAGTGGTAAGTATAGATCATTGTTTAGCAGCTCTTTTCAAACATCTTGTAGATGTTAACTCTTACTTCTTTAGGACTGGTATTAATTTCATCTTTTACTACTCAACCCCGTTTCTACAGTCTACAGGCGCAATTAGCAACTCCTTCCTTATGTCACTAATCTTTACTCTTGTAAATGTCTTCTCCACCCCACTTTCCTTCTGGACCGTGGAGCGCTTCGGCCGGCGCTTTATTCTCATCTGGGGCGCCCTTGGCATGCTTACATGTCAATTCCTCGTCGCCATCATTGGTGTAACAGTCGGCTTCAACCATACCCATCCAGATCCTAATAACCCTGACGATACTCTGGCCAACAATACAGCGGCTGTTAACGCACAGGTCGCCTTCATCGCGATCTTTATCTTCTTCTTCGCCTCAACTTGGGGTCCTGCCGCCTGGATCGTGATTGGCGAGATCTTCCCTCTGCCTATTCGCTCACGCGGCGTCGCACTTTCAACAGCTTCCAATTGGCTCTGGAATACGTTGATAGGCAAGTCGAGGGGGTAAAAGATTGACTCTTGATCAAGACTGACACTGCAACTAGCTGTTATTACCCCCTACATGGTGGGTGAAGACCGAGGCAACCTGAAGTCCAATGTCTTCTGGATTTGGGGTGGTCTCTGCACGTCGGCCCTGGTCTACACGTACTTCATTGTTCCTGAGACCAAGGGCCTTACCCTCGAGCAGGTCGACAAGATGTTGGAGGAGACTACTCCTCGCACTTCCGCCAAGTGGAGACCGACCACCACATTCGCCGCCAGCTACCCCGCGGCTCTGGAGAATAAGAACATTGTCGACGTCGAGCATCGTGTCTAACTATAGTCACGTCTAGCTCCTGCTTCTCTGGATGGCACAGGATCATCACAATGAGAAGTGAGATATCTATAAACATTGCCAGAATGCTAATATAGAGCCAAAAACAACAAAAAAGAAAGAAAGCAGGGAAGAGCGGTGAAGGTGTGGTCGTGTTTGCGTTGTTCTAGTCCGCAAAGATACCTGTAATCAAGACATTTATTCGATATCCACGGCCTAATAGCCATGACAGTAAAATTTATCTGGCTCGGCGATGTCCCAAGTCGTCCACCACACCTACTACTTGCTAGGACGACCGAGTAGATGGGCTCCAGAAATCAATCATCGCTTATTGTGTATTGTTCACAAATCCAATAGGAGTCCTATACATGAGAACAGTTGTGAAAATCCATTGGCATCTTCTTATGTTGTATTAGCAATAGACGTCCAGCATCTGATGTTATTCTGGGTACAATGTGGAGGCTATGACTTCTGGTATCGTGGATTCAAGGGCGGGTTCTTCTTACAATAGAGGCATCGTACAACTATCTGCATGTGTAACTAGTTCCATCAGGCTCCATATAAGCGATGGTATCTTTGCAAAAGCTGCCTAAGGAGGGAGGAGTCGGGCTGACCAGCAGCTCAATACTGTTCAGACCTTGACAAGTCTCACCCAGATCAGTCCACCCTTCAGAGAAATCGACAGGGCTATACGAAAGGACCACACTCATCATTCTCTCGAGAATGATGCAACACCACAATATAACCTCACTAGACAACGCCTCCAGGGTAGTCGCAAAGTCCCAGTCTACCGACATTCAGGTCATATCTTTTGTTGACTTGCTTCTCTACGAGCCAACGGAACCTCCGGAGAACTCGTATCCACTAGATCGTCTGACTATAAATAGAGATGACAAAGGTTCCATCTTTATAAGCACAGCTTCTGAGGCAATTCGGAAATTAAAGGAAACTTACAGGACCTTTATGACCACGAGTATTGCGAGTTACTGTGGTCGAGTGAATCCGAGTGAATGTGGTGCCGAAATTTCGGTCTGTCTGGGGAAGGGATACGTGAGCAAGCTAGTGAGCGGTTGTGGAGGTGTGGGGCCGCATTTGAGCTTGAAACTCGGCTGTGCTGAGCGAGCGAGCAGGGCTAGGGCTCCCAGAGATACCGGTAACGTAGGAGACCGCAGGGCGCTGCCCACTACCTACCTACCTTACTCGTCTAGGAAAAAGATGGCTCCTTTCCTTTTTCCTTCGGTCTAACATTGTTCATTTTAGGGGATGATCGCAACACCCGTGTCACGCTGGCAGGCCTTTACTACCGATTGGCTCGCCTTAGTCCCATTCCCTTTCTGCCCCAATCCGGGTTCTTAATCGTGGTCTCGCTCTCGCTTCGTCGCCTTTTTGACCACGCAATCATGTTTAGCTCTCAAGCCTTTGGTTGGTGGTGGGCCATAGACACGAGTATATAGCGATGTAGACTCAACTGGCCGCTAGTGGAGTATATATTAGTCTAAGTTGTTCTTGTCAATTTCCGCAAGTTCCGTTCAGCAAGGCGTTCAGCAAGGAGCTCTAGTCAATTCCTGCGGCTTCCGGTTTACAAGAAAAAGAAAGGAAGCATCGTCGAAAAAGATGCCGACCAAATCGTTCTGGGCGGTTCCAATCATGGGCGTGGCCGCCGTGGGCGCCATTGCGTCGGGGGCCTCGTGTAAATGTGTAAGTAAACCACCCCGGCCACCTCGCGACACCCGCTTGTTTTACCAAAAGAAGGGCGAGATTGAGCTGACACAATCATGCTGGCACACAGGCACCTGGCGATAGCTGCTGGCCCTCTATTGGGGCCTGGGACAAGCTTAATGCGACAGTGTCTGGAAAGCTTATCGCTACTAAGCCTATCGCTCTCCCTTGTTATCCGGGGCCCGATTACGACGCGGCTGCCTGCGGCGCAGTTCAGGTCGGATTGTCTCAAGACAGTTTTGTCTCGGAAAACCCCATCGGCCTGGACTATCCTATTAATATTACGTGCCCTCCTATCAATGTGGCTGCCAATGCGACCAACATCACCGCCGACTCTTGCACCCTAGGAACCAATCCTTTGTTTGCCGTCAATGTGACGGAGATCGACGATATTGTAGCAGCCGTACGATTCGCACAGAAGAACAAAGTGAGGCTTGTGATCAAGAGCACTGGACACGACGTTCTCGGCCGTAACGATGGCTATGGGAGTCTGGAGGTGTGGCTTCGCTACTTCCGCAAGGGCATCACTCTTCAGGACAAGTTCAAATCCTCGACCGGGTGCACTGCTTCTGGATGGGACGGCTCCGCTATGAAGATGGCTGGCGCATACATGTGGGGAGAGGGCTACGCCGTGGCCAGGGAGAATAATTTCGTGGTCGTTGGTGGCGGAAGTGCAACCGTCTGTGGCACCGGTGGGTGGGTGCAGGGTGGTGGACACGGGCCGGGCAGCCATACGTTCGGTCTCGGCGCCGACCAGGTCCTGGAGGCTGAGATTGTCTTGGCCAGTGGTAGGGTGGTCACGGCCAACAGCTGCCAGAACCAGGACCTCTACTACGCAATTCGGGGTGGCGGACCCAGCACCTACGGAGTCGTCGTGTCGACCACAGTTAAGACCTATCCCCAGGTGAATGTGACTGTGCAGAACCTCAGCTTCGCGCCCCGGGACTCCGCTTCCCAAGAGAGCTTCCTGGATGCCCTGGCTGACCTCTACCTGGAGGTCCCAAGCCTGGTTGACGCGGGTTTTGCGGGTTACACTCACTGGCAATATGAGGGCCCGGGCCCTATCTTTGACAACTACACTACGGGCTACACCCATAACATCTACACTCTAAACAGCACTCTGGATTATGCCGTCGCCGCCGGTCAGACGCTGCTCGACAAGATTAACCACTACAATGACACCATCTACGTCAATTCCAGCTACGTGACGTACTGGGACTACTGGAGCTTTTTCCACAACACTAGCGCTGACGTTGGCCCTGTTGGTATCTTGTCGGCTTCTGGCTCTCGCCTCCTTGATGGGCCGTCTTTGAGCAACGCGACTTCCGTGCGGGAGCTTGTGGGCGTCCTGGCTGGCGACGTTGGCCAGGGTGTCATCAACGTCATGTCTATCGTGTCCGGTGGCAAGGTCTGGAAGGATGCATCCCAGGCCCACTCAGCCGTGCTCCCGGCCTGGCGCAAAGCTTATGTGCACCAGACCGTTGCGCGCATCATCGGAAACAACTTGGCGGATGAGGAGAAGCAGGCCATCTTCCACGACATCACGTACAACAAAATTGGCTTCATGAAGACCCTGGCTCCGGACAGTGGTTCGTACATGAACGAAGCTGACTTCAACGATCCTGACTGGAAAGTTGATTTCTACGGCGAAAACTACCCCAGGCTCCTGGCTATCAAGGAATATCACGACCCCGAGTCTCTTTTCTACTGCCCAACTTGTGTCGGAAGTGACAAGTGGCAGGCTGACTCTGTCGGACAGCTATGCCGTGTGTAGAGGTGCTTTGTACATAGCATTTCCTACTGAAGACTAGTCGTCCTGTACTGTCGGCAGCCACACCGCATAGCATATAGAAAAGGGGGGGAGGGGGGTCTCCACTCTTTCTGAGGCCATTAGACTTTTCTTTTATTTGTCTTTCACGGCCATATATTTTAATTAGAAAAATATATACTACAATGGATGGAAGTTCGTTCCAACCATTGTTTCACAGGGAAAGAATTAACACCCTCTTTTTTTTTTTTTTTTTGTGAATAAGTTTAGCTCAGAGGTATCAAACTTTATTAAGTAATAGCTGCACACACCATACCATTTAGTCTCGTGGGAAGCGGATGACCACCTTCACCTCCAAATGGTCGCTGAAGCGCCTGTAGTATTCGGGCGCTTGCTCGATATCAATCTCCGAACTGACAATGAAGCTCGGGGACACCTTGCCGGCCGCTATGAGGTTGAGGAGCGCCTGGTCGATGTGTAGCGGCAGGGCGATGCCGCTGCCCACAGTGAGCGCCTTACCCCAGAGTGTGGAAATGGAGATGGGCAAGTCTGCCCGTATCCGATCAGCATATGGCGCGCCCACGGTGCTGTTCGATGGTTCGCTGTAGACTCCAACAATGGCTAGGCCTCCACCGTACGCCGCCACGCGAATCATGTTGGACACGACGACACCCTCATCCCGCTGCCCTGCGGCGTTGACAGCCTCGAATCCGACACAATCCATGGCCCTCATCACGCCCTCGGGATCTCTGGCCAGAATCTGGTCCACCGGGTCAGACTCGTTGAAATTGATGGGTATGGCCCCTATCGAGGCCGCCAGATCGAGGCGATCCTGGACGTGGTCGACGGAGTACACCCGCGAGGCGCCACGGGTAATTGCCGAGTACGCCGCCAGGAGGCCCACAGGGCCGGCGCCGAAGACCGCAACCGAGTCACCGGGTTCAAAGCCGGTCTGGGTGAGCCCCGACCAGGCAGTGGCGAAAATGTCCGCTAGCATGAGGTAATCCAGCTCCGCCGTTGAGGTTGTCTCGGACCCATCGATCGGGATTGGAATCAAGGAGTTGTCAGCGAAGGGCACTCGAACATACTCAGCTAGCGCCGTGATTAGCTTCAGAATCCGAGTTGGGGTTGCGACTGATGATCGACACACCTTGGAGGCCACCGTAGTCTGGTGAGCCGGTTCCAAAGGACAGAGGATGGTCCTGGCCAGCCCAGTGGCCATCATCGGCATTATCAGGGATAATGACGTAGTCGCCGGGCTGCAAGAAAGACACAGCGCTGCCGACTTCAGTCACATAACCAACGCCCTCATGACCAAGGCCCCAAGGGATGTTTGAAGCGCCGGAGAACCCGTGGTAAAAGTGCAAGTCCGAGCCGCAGATGCCAGCGCTGGTCATACGGATGATAGCATCGGTCTGGTTGACGATGACCGGCACGGGCAAGTCGATGACCGACACGTTGTATGGCTGCCCAAACCATGCGACCGCCCGCATGGTAGCGTTGATCGTCGCGTTGAGAGACATTACCGAAGCGTGGAACTGTGTGTCCGCTGTGAATGTCCTGAATCGAAAAGGTAATGATTGCTTCGTGCTAGGGTTCTCCTCCCTCCCTGGATGAGTTCTCTCCGTGGCTCTTAAGTATCATTCTTCTAGGTCACGACCCACGCCTTGTGTCCACAAGCATCTTGCGCGTCTAGCTTGGGTCGGGCCGATGAGGTTGGTCTCGGCAGCTACATAGAGAGGGTCGCCAACCTGTTGCTAGATGACGCAACAAATACAATTCCGATGGAGCTCCATCAAGCGATATTGTAAAGGTACTGACTGTACTGTAACATGTGCACATATAGGAGTATTTAGATATCCCCACGTGCAATACCACAGGTACATCTACTTGTCCGGTACGCGGCCTCGAGTCAACCTCACGCACGCGCGCGCGTGCATGTGTGCCGTACAGATGTACTGTAATCTACGTGTAGATGGTCGCGCGCATCGAGCCGGGTTCCTTGCAGCTCACCTTGCCTCTCCCGACAAACACGAGAGTGCGCACGCACACCGGACCATCCGATGAACCCTCTGCAGGGACAATAAGAAATGATATCTCGGCCCATCAGGAACACACTTGGCCCGGTAGGCACATTGCTGGCAAGGTGGTATGGTATCTATGGGTTTATATGGTATCTATATGAGGGGCCTCTCCACCTCCATCCTTGTAACATACAGTGCTGCGTCTTGCGAACTCCCAGTAACGTGCAATTGCCACTAAGGCTATCTCCGCCCTGTTCCCCCGATCTCCCTTTCCCCTGACCGCGCAGATATACTGGCCCCCCTACTTATCGAATTGGCCAATTGAATACCGCCTGCACCATCTGCACCCTGTATGTAGTGCGTAGGGATGGCCGATGTACTCAGGTGCCGGCCAAGGCGATGCGCTGCAACCGGCTTATCCCCAGCCCCTCTTTTCGGTGGGGTTCTGGTGAACAGCTTTACGTAGGCCACAAACTATGTTGATGTTTGTCAACATGGTGAGAGAAAAAGGAGAGAAAACGGTAGATCTGCAGTGATAGATATTGCAACTTCTGCTGTACGCAGGGTTTCTCTTTTCATCCCTCTACGCCCTACCAGCTTGCCTATCTCCTGCCTATCGCTACAATGACGCCTCCGCCGCGGGTCATGATCTTGGGTGGCAATGCCGGTATCTCTCGGCTCATGACGTCACTCATGATTGAGAGGTCATGGAGCGTTGTCAGCGTGGTCCGAGACGCCCGGCAGAGCACCCGCATCCGGGCCTTGGGCAACGGACAAAAGGGAACTGTGGAGGTCATAGCGTACGACTTGAGTGACGTGAAGAGCGTGCACGATGCCCAGAGTCTCCTGGTTCGCGCAAAGCCGAGCGTCGTCGTCTTCGCCGCAGGTAAGCGCATCTTGTTATCCTCGTGCAGTCCTCTCTGTGAAGTTCAAGCCATCTAATGACGTCTCCTTGTTTTTCCCCCGCCAGGATCCCTTTCGAATCCGTGGGCTGTGGACCGCGATGCCGCCAAGAGGTTTATGAAGGCATCCACCGACGACAGCTCCTCTGTCGCAAAGTTTCTCTTCATTTCCTTCCCCTCAGCTCGCAGGAAGAGGGCACCGTGGTGGTCAGACGGGGACTATAAGGATTATTTAGCAGAAAAGTCGTCGTACCCTGACACGTGGCAGGCCAAACTCGAAGCCGACGAGTATCTGGTTGCCCTTGCGGAGGCGCGAGCTCGTCGAGGCGGCCCGCCATTCCAGGCCATCAGCCTACGACCTACATGGCTCACAAATGCTCGAGGCACCCGCCACGTGCAGCTGGGGAAAGCGGGCTGCGTAGGACAAGTCACGAGGGAGGATGTCGCTGCTGTGGCCGTCAGTCTGCTCTCCAGAGACGACACGCGCGGCTGGTTCGATCTGTTCCAGGGACCTGACGAGATCGAAAAAGCTGTGGATAAGGTTGTGAGAGACGGTATCAACTGTGTCGACGGCGAGGATCTGGACCGTATCTACCAGCTGGCATCGACGGACGAGGTCTAGTTCATACGATTATGACGAGACTGACTCGATTTGGTTCTAGACGCTGCCTTTGTCGAGAACTCTAGCAATATGACATACTCCATAGAGTATTTCTCAGATCAAGCTGGCGAGTACTGCCTTGGATCCAAATGTTGTAATCTGAAATCTTGCAATCCAACTCCATAGCATTTCGTCACGCTAGGATCACCGTTCCCTGCTCTTTTATGCTTATATATTGCCCTACCGGACTCTCTTCTGGCCTGTACAAGGCGTACACTCTTTACACTGTATCTTCGCTGGAACGTAGACCAAGAGATTGCACTCATTCACTACATTTTCTATACTCTCAACGCTCTGCCACTCGTCACTCATTTTGAAGTGTGAGGAGTGGTCAAAGGAAATGTACGGGGTTTTTTTTTCTTTTTTTCGGTTTTCGTTTGGATTAGGTTTGATTGATTGTTCTCTTTCAAGCCTAAAATGTCATATAGATTTTGAATCATAATACCTTGAATTAAATCTACATCAAGTCGAATTCGGCGAATTGCCAATTCGACGCACATCACGAACCCGTAAAGTAGAGAGTGGTATAGCAAGAATTGTCGATAGCAGTGAGCCGGCGTTGATACCAAGATGCGAGGGCTATACTCTGAAATGTATGTATGTTGTTAGCTGGATCATGTGGACGTATGCTCTACAGACGAAGGTGAAGGGTAAATACTGACCCTATGTATGAGGTCGGGGCTAAGCTGTCAGATATGATCCTGTCCATAACATCAACACTTGAAAAGTCGTTGCAGCCTAAATCTCTTCTCTGGCCATGGAGGGCCACGCACCGGTAGGAAAGCGCAAATATATTCCCTATTCTCCCATACTAGCCTGATCGCTGTTCCTAGTTTTGTCCCGGCTTTCGGGAGCCCGGCGAAGGTCTACTTATCCAAGACTATCCTAGAAAATGCGATCGAATGACTACCGTAACAGGCATGCGATAAGTGTTTAATATTTGCAACTAATTCCCTACTTTGCTTTTCAAATGACCTCAATGTCAGGGCTAGGCCATATGCCAATTATCAGATGTTCCGGGTTGCCGAACGCCGCAAGAGCAGCAAAACGCATCCTGCAATCATAATTTGCATTAACACACCATAAACATATGAACACAGGGACTCGTGGGCTGGACGGTTCCGCGAGCTACGTACTTGTATCTGCCTGGCGCAACTGGCGATCCGTTCGATAGCTGTCCTAGCCACCATGCTTGATAGAGTTGATCTCTAAGAACCTCCCTCATGGGATAGACAATTGCGTCATTTGAGTTATCCTTGGCAGGATCAGACCATGGGTAGTTCAAGCTGTCCTGCCAGTTGAAGGCCGACACAGAACCAATAAACTTGTTCTCTCCTATCACGGGAGGATATCTCTACTCGCGTTCATTGTATGCAATATTGAAGATCTAGGAAACCAGTCTTGTTAACGATCATCACTTCGGGATAGACTTAACCTATGGTAACCGACAAAACAGCAAGAATGCAAAGGATCAAGATTGACTTACGTCCCAGCGGAGTTCCGTCGGACCCCATTACTGTACCCATTGGATTCCAGGAAAATCTTGTGAGGTGAGAGAGAGGTTGAAGGAATAACTATAGGTTCAGAAATGAACTAGTCCCTTCTCTATATATTGAGCAAGCGCTAGCGACAAAAGAAAACATATCTTTGAGAAGGAGGATCACTTTCTTTAGATACTATAAAGTCGTTGGTTAAGTCAAAGGATCTAAATATATAGCTAGAGGCAAATGATAGGTGGTTATAAACATCAAATAGCTAAAGAAATGTTAGATCTATATATAGTTCTAGGTAGTTTGAATTGATTCTCGATATTGTGGTCGTACGATTCAATTGAATGTGGTGATTGAGGTGGTTGGGTGGAACGTTCGGTGTCCAAACACGTTATAATACGACCGAAAATGTGAATTCAGATCAAGCTGCACGAAATTATATCGAGCTTTCGAGCGACGTCTCTCAGTGCAGCTTGATTGTCTTTATAAGACCTCTCCTGTCCAGTCTCTGGACGCGCTTTGGTTATGAACGGGGTATTGCCCGAAGAATTAAGAGTGTTCAACAGAATTAAGTACGATGATGTAGGCGACGAGAATCAGGCACAAAATGCATGATTCTAAGGTGGGTGGAACCGCGGCAGATGTGTACTACTATAGTCACTCTTTTTACAGCGGCCACGAATTCAATAGTTGCAGTCAGGTTGTTGTACTCACTGCGGCTTACAAGGTTCTCACAGGAGTAGAAATAGAACACTATTTAAAGCCTACGTTATTCCCAAAGACCTTCCTTTTATTCTCTCACCGATATTTACATATATACACAACAGTAAATGATAGTGAAACAGGGCAGCAGTGCCTACTGCTGACCAACACCCTCTCAAGATATCACATAACACCC